TCGCAGAGAGTCTTAGCTTGTCAAGTTGTATGAATACATTGGCAATTAAATTAAGCGGTGGCGAACGGAAGAGACTCTCCATCGCTGTGGAAACAATCACCAAGCCATCCATTCTCTTATTAGACGAACCAACAAGCGGGCTTGACAGTGTGTCGTCTAATCAGGTATACTCTCTAAAATCAATCAGTGAAGTATCATTGAAAAATGTGAATAGTCACTGATTTGCAGTTCTAATATACCACTGAAAAATGCAGTTTAGAGAGTAAGGTATAGATTGTTTATACAGCTATATACAATAGCGATCATTTTACAAAACTGTTATTCAGCTATGTGTCTATATGTTCAACTATTGTATTATGTCAGCTTATTGTGCTCTGCTAATCATTCTATTACAAACGCAAAAAATTCCAGCGGAATCGTAGCAACGTTACAACGTTACTGCTAAGTAAATAGAATATTGTGATATTTTGTTTTGTAATGATGTTAAAGAGTTCTTAATGTGCTACATGAGAACCGAATGTGCTACATGAAATACGATTTACGTTAAAGCTCGCAAACTTGCTGCAAGATTTGGCGAAAGAGAACTGCACTGTGGTTTGCGCGATACATCAACCCAGCAGTCAGATGCTTTCGCTCTTCGATAACATTATGGTACTTGATCGAGGCAGATGTATGTACTGCGGTCCAAAGAACGAGATCTTAAACACATACAGCATCGCCGGGTTCACATGTCCTAGCTTCTACAATATAGCCGAATTCGGTAACGTTGATTCTATCGATTCAACTTAATAAATAAAGCATTAGAAAAAGAGAATTAACAACAGAGTGTTTTAGAGAGCTTTGTATAGTTGATTTCTTCCAGGGTTGGGAAAGTTACTTTATAAAAGTAATTAGTTACAGTTACAGTTTTTTTCGCTAACAATGTAACTAGTTACAGTTACAAGTTACCAATTCTGAAAAGTAACGCGTTACAGTTACAGTTACTCGAAAAGTAACGAATCGTTACTTTGCAGTTACTCCCTCGCAATAGAAATAAAAATATCTGAATCTGCATCTGAATTGTAAAATGTAAAGCGGCGATAAAGGCGTTTATGCGCAAATGC